GTTAGGTTGTTGTTTTATTATTTTTGATAAGTTTAGATTTAGGAGCAGGTCAGTACACTTATCTTATCCTTGATTTATTTATCGGATTATTCCAGTATATTAGGATACTTGATCATAGCCTATTGCCTTTCATACTCTGTACATTATTTTGTACTGACGCCCCATTGCCTGGGGGCGCTGCATTCATGCATGCAGGTCCTGACAGACGACTGAGTAGACCTCCTCAGCAGCAGGATTGACTTATATCCGGTTGGCTAGCCCCTTTCCTCCGGAGCTGCCAGTGTTTGGAGGTTTGTTAGATTTTGTTGTACATATTTTTATGGGTAGGCTGGGGCCCTGTCCCGCCAATCGTTAATTCTCTTAGAGGCTTGCAGACTAGTGTGTTGGGTTTACAACTACGTTATGGCCATGCTGGCCTAGTTTGTTGGTTTGCTGAAGCTTGTTAGTTGTGTGATGCATTGTCTTGTTATATACATGTTTTTAGTTTTGGTATAGAGATCATGGTGGCCTTGACGGCCCAATCAGGACTTCTGTGCTAGTTGGATGTTTCTTTATATGAACTCTTGGGAGTAGCTGGTTCTTTTGTAGATCTGTTGACAGGGGCCTTGCCGGCCGATGGCTTAGTTTTAAGTCGAGATATACTTGTTTGTTTTCTTAATTGCATGTGACTGCGATGCGCTAGTAGCAAATGGTTCGGCAGGGTCGGCTCGGGCCTGAGTTTTGGCTTTAGGAGTCAGTTGCGCCCCTTGAGTTTGGGGCGTGACATATTTCTTTCCTATTTTATCCTCAACACTAATTATTTATTCTCCCAATCATTTTGTAAGATCAAGACTATACATCAATTAATATGTGTATTGTAGTAAAATATTCATATTAATCATTTCTTAAAAAACATGCAAAATTCAAAGTGGACAAATAAAAGAGAATAAAAGGATACTATTTTGGGTGTTGAACTGTAATTCTATGAGCTAATCTCTTATGCTTTAAGTGCAAATGAGGCAAATGCAAAATAAGAAAAGTGAGTCACCATGGAAGTTAAAACAGAGATTTATGAACACATAATTTTATGGCCAAACACATATGCAGACCCTTAAACTTGTTCCTAAATTTCATTTTGGTAATCCAACTCAACCTTGTTCCATTTTAATCCTTCAACTCCTATTTTTATGTTTCATTTTGATACTTCTAAGTGATGTGGCAGAGTGTGTGCATCACATTTTCTCTAAGAGAGTGAAAGACCAAAAAAAGTACTTTTTAAAAAAATAATAAAAAAATACCCTTCAACTCTATTTTTTTATGCACCTTTTAACACAAAATACTAATTTTATGATTTCTTTATTTCTATTTATGTTATTCAACTGCAATTTTGCATTTTAAAAATCGGCGTTCATCCGTTAGTTATTGTAAAAAATTAAAATTGACGGATAATCATTGATTTTTTTAATAAAAAAAGTAACAATTTGTTTTTTAAGAGTTTCCCTATATTTTTGTGTGAAAAATAACCGACGAAAGTGTGTCAATTTTCTTTCTTAAGAAAATCAATGACAACCCAACAAAGTCTATCGAGTTTCAACTTTTTTTGTAGTGTTATTAATTAGCAATGAACATGAGTTTTTTTTTACTCATAATTAGTTGAATGAAAAATTAGAAAGCTGATATTTGAGTTAATCCAAATAGACTAGATATGAAAAAATAATAATATGTGGTGTCATTTAATTTAATTAATTGTTAAAAAAGAAAACCAACACACTTTTGTCGATTATTTTTTCACACAATAATGTACATAAATTCTAAAAAAAAGTATTTATTTTAAAAAATGATGTTCATCCATTATTATTATTTTAAAAAAAAAAGATATGACGTTGATTTTTAAAATGAAAAAAGTGAAAATAAAGAACATAAATAAAAATAAAGAAACCGTAAATTTAGTATTTTGTGTTTAAATGATACTATATAAAATAGAGTTGAAAGATTAAAATGGAACAATGCTAAGTTAGCATGACAAAATGAAAAATTGAGGCAAATTAGAGGAGTTGTGTATGTGTTTTTAATTGTTTTTTGTGCCATGTCATGGCATGTGAAGTACACACATCCCACTTTGTTGATTCTTTGGAAAAAAGTGTCAAAATGATACATAAAAATTAGAATTGAAGGGTTAAAATGGAACAAAATTGAGTTGGAGTGCCAAAATGAAATTTAGGAACAAGTTTAAGGATCTACATATGTGTTTGAGCTAATTTTATTTGGTGAACCTCTTTTATGTGTGACAAAATTGAGTGTACTAATTATTATTCTACAACTACTACAATAAAAAATGTTATCTTGGCAATTACATCTTTCCATCTCCATTTAATTATATAATTAACTAATAAAAATATGATCTCTCTAATAGCTTAAGTTTTTAGATGAGATGGTCACATACTTGAACATAATATCAGACTAGGCAAAAAGATCCTGGTATTGAATCTCACCGCCACCTATATAAAAAAAGAATGTCCACATGCTTGGCCATGAAAAAAGAATTAGGCCCGCACACGAGGAAACATATTGAGAATATAATTAACTAATAAAAGCGTGTTCTCTCGAAAAAAAAGTTGTCATGCCATTTTTACACTTTTCTTTCTTACCATGATCCAACACTCATAATCCAATTTCCAATCTGGTTTTCCTGATTGTAATTCCAATTTTCTTACCCTTTGTAGAGTCAAATCCGTTAAACAACGACTCATTTCTTGTATTGAATCATCAATGATTTCTGATTCTTCGTTCGAATTCCAAATGCATTGATCAATCACACTTGTTGGAGAACACGTCTTGAAATCTTGATTTTCTTCGTTGTATAAATCAAGAAATCGATGTTTGAGTAGCTCTTTCGCTGAGCATCTCTGTTTCTGATCTCTTCTCAAACATTTCTTTAAAAAATCCTTTGCTTGTGATGACAAAAACTTGGGAATTTCTGGTGTTAGCCCAGAAAATGCTATATGGTATAGCAATGAAGCAGAGTTATTAACACTAGTTGTAACAAACTCAATTCCAACAGAAGCACTCTTATATATATTAATTACTGAATACAAGTTACAAGGTAGAATACGCACAATAAAGTAATAATACACTAATTACGGATAACTTAACATAGATGAAGGTAACTAGAAGGGGATGAGATACTAGACCATAGAAAGGAGATGAGAGGATCAGAAAGCCAAAGCTTCACATAAATTTCATGCCCCTTCTTCCAACTTCTAGTCCTTTTTAATAGAGATACTAATTGGGCCTGGATCCCCAAATAAAAGTATCTAATAGCCCATAGGCCCTTACCAAGTCACGTCGAGTTCACAACAATACTCCCGCCCTCAAAAAGAACCTTGTCCTCAAGGTTCAAGTCATGAAATTCATCCAAAAACTCTCTAAATTATCTGACGAGTAACAATTTCCACACACTTCAATGTCACAAGTGTAAAGTGAAACAACATTCCTCCATCCAGCAATGAACTAGGCCAGATAAAATGATCTAGATGTTCTGATGTGAGGTGTAACTTTATGTTGTCTTTGGAGAGTATTAAGGAAATTGACATTACTCCCGTTGCCTCTTGAACATATTGTCCAGCTTTAACTAGAACAATAACCCCTCCACAATGGCAAATGTCACTGCAACATACTCCTCTAAGGTGATGTTTGTAGGATAATGCCTTTGGCCGATCCAGTGACATAAGAGAAGTAAACTCATTACTTTCAGCTGCCACAGAACTACTCCAGCAATCTGGTAGATTCTCGTCCAGTTAACAGTACCACCCCTAGATGAATCATATAAACAACATCCATGTTATATGTCACAACAAAATGTATAAAGAATCTCACACAACAGCTATTGATATATTCCTCCATGCTATTCCCATTTCGCAATAGCTTGTTATCTTGTGGTTGGTGTCGGTGTACTGAATGCACAACCATTCCTGCCTCCAATAGTGCAATTCGAGCATTCCCGACAATGGTAGAATCAATTGCAGAAATAACATCTACAAGAAAATAAATATTAGTGAAGGAGGGAAATGCTTTATCCACCTCTTCGTCTGTGTCCTTCAATACAAATTCCTTAAAAATAACAGTCCAACTAAAATTGGGATCTCCAATTAATGGTCTTGCAACCTTGTGTCCACAACCAATCACACAAGACCACCGAAGAGTGTCGTCGAACATCCTTGTTGTACTAATTCTGAAATGTTTAACAGTTCCCTCGTCCATTGAAAACATTCCCAAGTCATCAAGGAGCTCACAATCACTGTACTCTGGTCCAACAACTACCAGCTTCCAATACTTCACTGCGGTGATTGCTTTCACGAGCTTAACATCATCAACAGCTTCGCGTAGGAAGGACGTGTTCATGGAATGATCATTGTGCACATCGAAAGCACGCAACGACAAACTAGTGGTACAAACATGTTGTCCACTTTCTCGACTTGATTGATCATGACCATACTGAGGCAGTTCAGAGAGAACTTTGTTTGGAATTGAAATTGCTTCATCATTAGTAGTGTTATTATACAAATCTGGATCTGTCACCATTTGATCATACCCACTAAGCACTGAAGAAACTATTAGTGATGGCCTATTGTCCATTTCTTCAGAAGTGTCATTATTTTCTTCAACAGAGGTAGTGTCCGAAGAATCTACATCATTACTCTTCTTGGGAATTTTATCGAACATGTGGTCTACCTCAGAATTTTTAGCAAAGAGATTGTGTTGATAAGACTGAGGCGAGGATGAGTTAGTAATATTACCCCACAATGGAATAACCTTTTGATAGTAATCCACTATCCTATCATTCTTGTTCTTGGGAATGGGTAAGAACCCGCGAGATGTGTCTCTAGTACGGGAGCCAAAACGAATCATCAATTTGTCCACAAAATGGTCCCAACCAGCGAGTTGATTGTTGCGAAATAACCATCCATACCATTCCAAAGCCTCACCATCAAAATAGAACGAAGCCACATTAAGCTTCTGATCTTCCTCAATTTTATAGCAATTAAAATAATGCTCTGCTTGAACTATCCAAGCGTCCGGATTCTCACCTCGAAACTGCCCCAATTTGACGTCCATAACTATGTTTTTGGGTTCAAAAGAGGTCGTATCCTTTTCCCCCAAAACCTCCCGCAACATCGAACGACATTCAGCGAGATCTTTAGAGATTGAATCCTTCATTTCTTGTATTGCATCCCGAATTGAATCACCAACGAAAGCCTTGAGTACTTTTTGGTCCTCCATTAGAGAGACCTCTAGATGAAAGCACCAATGTAACAAACTCAATTCCAACAGAAGCACTCTTATATATATTAATTACTGAATACAAGTTACAAGGTAGAATACGCACAATAAAGTAATAATACACTAATTACGGATAACTTAACATAGATGAAGGTAACTAGAAGGGGATGAGATACTAGACCATAGAAAGGAGATGAGAGGATCAGAAAGCCAAAGCTTCACATAAATTTCATGCCCCTTCTTCCAACTTCTAGTCCTTTTTAATAGAGATACTAATTGGGCCTGGATCCCCAAATAAAAGTATCTAATAGCCCATAGGCCCTTACCAAGTCACGTCGAGTTCACAACACTAGTCCACGGTGAACCACCTGTGGCCATTTCAATAATCGTGCATCCTAACGCCCATATATCAGCACGAAACCCCTGTTCTTCCCCACGAACTACTTCTGGTGCCATGAACATAGGTGTGCCACCAATTGTCACACCATCAACCCGTTTAGAACATCCAAAATCCCCAATTTTCGCACCAGTGTTACATAACAAAATGTTGTGACCCTTGATATCGCAATGTACTATCCCTTTCGAATGTAGGTAATCTAGGCCTTGAACAATTTGTTTCGTGTAGTGTCGAATCAATTCCTCATTCAATTGGCCTCCCTGTTTCCTAATTTCATCGATGAGTGTTCCATCGGGCATGTACTCCATCATAAGATTGAACATTACCTTGTTGTTCTCTCTAGTTACATCGTACCCCTTGTAGTCAACTACGTAAGGAGAGTTCAATGTTGATAGAATTTTTTGCTCTTTTTCCAAGAATTCGGATCGAGACAACTCCGTGGACTTGACAGCAAAAATCTCACCGGTGCAGCGTGACATGGCGACCGACACGGCTGCTGTAGAGCCATGGCCTATAATGTGGCCTCTGGTCCAGTCCATTTTTTGTTTTTTTGGAGAAGAATTTGGTAGGAGCCAGTTAGGAAGTGTAAAGAGTTTAGGACATGTTCCGTTACATAGAGGCTATATTATACTATAATATAAACTATAGTGTATAAAATAATGAATGTCTAAATTAGTTTGGTAAGGCTTAGGTTTGCCTTCTTTCCTATTAAAAGACTTGAAAAGTTTGGTTATTTTAATTATGGCCAATTACTTGTGGTTTTTAGGCAGCTTTCGGTATGCCAGAGGACAGATATGATGTGGCTTACTAGGAAGGTGCCACGTGTCAAGCTGTGAAGTGGGTAATTGAATTTTAATCATCTTTCAAAAACAAGTTGGAGAGGGTGGATTGGATTGGACCAACAAAAATGGTTGCTATTAGATTTTTCTTCTTTCTTGGATAAAAATATATCAAGTATAATATTTATACCAAATCATATTAATTAATTATGATTAAATGATAAAATTAAGGTTAATTATGGTTTAATGATAATGATATGTGAATGATATATATATATATATATATCATGTATTCATTAGTTTGATATATATAACTTGAATCAATAAGTTTTTACCCACTTTTTGGTAGGTTGTGAAGTTTGTGGTTTAAATATTTTTTCGAATGAACTTTATCATAATTATGTACTAACATCAAATCCTCCTCATACATCTAGTGAAAACAAGAACTCAGGTTGAAGAAGGTACTTGTGGGTTCCTATTCTTTATTTTTTGAAGAGTCCGAGCAACATAGATGTTCTCATTCCTGTTTTATGGTCTTCATTTTGTTGCATTCCTCATTCAAAGAATTTCATCCAATTTCTTAAAAATATTTGAGGCCATTTCTAAAAGTTTATTAGCAAATGTTTTGTTAGGATCAGAATATGTAGTAGAAGAACTACTTGTATAATTTGATCAAGCAAAACTTAATACTTAGGTAAGTTAAGACATTCATTTTAGTCAACAAAGTCACTACTTACATGCTTGAATCGAATCTTAAAGTTGTTTTTCTTTCTTTAGTATCTGTGTTAGTTCATTATGAAGGAGGATCTGTCCTCGTGCATTATAAAGTACCACAATTGTTTCCTAAACCCTCGCTGCAAAAAAAATGCGTTATCTGCGGAGGGGTTAAATTTATATGTTATGGTGGTCAACAACCTCCACAATCAATTGCCCGCCCCAAGAACATTCACCGTTGCCAGTTTGCGGAGATTTTCCTAGCCGCCGTAATATTTTAGCGGCGGTTAAAATCCCCGCTATATGTCGAGTTTTAGGTTAATTATTTAAAAAGTTGTGGCCCTCCATTGATTTTTTATTTATTTATTCATTTATAATTCTTACAAACTGATTGATATGATATTTTATTATACAAATTGCTTTCTTAAATAGGTAATGTTAAAGATACTATTGAACTAAAATTACATTAACATAAACGAATATAACATTAGTCTCAAACATATATTTCAATGATTAAACACAAACATTAGTATCATCATTTGTCTCAAAAACTAAACATTAAGCACATTCATTCCAACGATTAATCATAAAGGATCTACTACATCCATTCAAGCAATTACTATACTTAATTATCTAATACAACTGCACGACAAAATTAACTTCATTGATTGTTATTTGGATTACTTCAATTGGAGGATCTTCTTTTATTCATACGTGAAATGGATCCACTAGCTGCATCACTTGGCTACAAAAAGAATTTAAATTATAATTAATCAAAAGGACCACAATAAAATCATATTCAATAAACTACAACTTAGCTAATTAAAAGAGATCAACTTAGATCATTTCAGCAGAAAGCAAAATATGAATACAAGCTACTATCTGCATACAATTTATCTACCGAGCACATGATTTAGGAACCATCATTCACGAACACACAACACATAACATGATTTAGGAACCAACATTCATGGGCACATAGGTTAAAAAATATCCGAAGTAAAATTAGTTTAGTTCTATAGATAAGACCATATGTTGTCACTTATCAAATATTGATCTCAATTTCAACTCGAGTAATCTTTGCATGGAATCAAAGCAATATAACACTTAACTCGAGTTGATATTATGAATAAGATCAACAGGTTGAAAACTTAAAAGAAATAACACACAAGCTCATATGTCTTTTCAACAATAACTTTGGTCTTTAAGAAGATAATAAAAATCAACTAATCGTCCAAACAATCATCAAAATACAATAGTTGAAAGAAATTTGAATATAACTCCATGAATCCAATGATAAAGACCCATGAAAATTTTGAAACATGCTCAAAAAGTAAAAGAAGACGAGAACTAACATGAATTTGGCCTAATTCTACATCAAACAGGTGCAACAAAACTAATACACAAACTTAGAACCCAACTTTTCTTTTTCCTTAAAGCATATTATTAGGACCAAAATAGAGCCAAAAATTACAGCTTAATGAATTAGTTGCTACTTACCTCAACAGAGATAATGAGACAGAGAAACACTGATTGCAAAATTTCAAAACTGAAAGCCTTCTTAAAGAAAAGATGAAAAGAACAAGGTTTATTGAGGGGTTTTAAGGTATTAGAATTTAGCCCACAGAAGTGAAGTGTCAAATTTCAGAAATAACAAAGTAGAAAACAACTTATTATTACATGTGGTGCAGGTTTTGTTTTGTCAACTTCAAAGCCACCTAATCCTATCTTTTAGTGCTGTTTAAATGTATAAAAACGAGCTGTCAATATTTTATTGCATAATACATAAACGTGTTTTTAATTTAACTTAAGCAAATATCTATGCCTTTCAATTTTAAATATGTATAAATAGACTCTTAAACTTATATAAATTAAACAAATAGATACATTCGTCTTAGTATAGAAGACAAAGTAAAAGATATATTTATATACTTTGCCTATTTTATTTGGACATCGCTTTGCAAAAGTACTTATACTAATATTTTTAATCATAAGTATACTTGTTTATATTACTTTTTATTTATTTATTTCTAATCAGTAATAATACTTTACTAATTAATTAGAAAATTTAAAAACTTAGATATAATAAAAAAAATTTCCTCAGAAGTCATGTATTTTTAGACAAGATTAATTTGTTAAAACTATAAATATTTGGAACCTTAGGTAGTATATGCAAATGTATTTTAATTAAACTCAATTTTGTTATCGCTTTCCTATTTACCACTATTAGTTGTATCTTGGCAAGTGGAAAAACTCTTAGAATCTCTACCTCTGGAGCTAATACTATTTTCCTGAACAACTTCTTGAGTCACTATTCGTGGAGCTAATACTAGCGTGTCTCTTTCGCTTCTTCTTCTGCACTTTTCTCCCATAATTAAGACTCTTTCTATTTGATCGTTTTCTTCTCCGAGTTGTTTTCTTCACGTGTTTTATATCACGTCAGTGGCTACGTTTTTTTCTACTATAATCAAATCTGACCCAGGACCTGACCCCAGTCGAACCTAGGAAAAAATAATTCAAAAAAAAAAGTTTGACGGGGTCCCGGGGGGGGGGGGGGGCGGGGGGGGGGGGGGGCGGGGGGGGGGGGGGGATGGCGTAAAAAGTGAAGATTTTTAAAATTTGAAATATTTTTCAAAAAATAAATCTTTGAAAAAGAAAATTGATTAGGGTTGGCGCGGGGTAGGGGGCTAGGGGATGCCGTAAAAAATGAAGATTTTTAAAATTTGAAATATTTCCCAAAAGTAATTTTTTCTTAAGAATTTTTTTAACGGGAATGGCCTAG